GTTGGCGTACGTGGCGTCTATGAGGGGGATCACGAACCCGATGGCCTTCAGGAAGGCCGCGTGACCCTTCCCTCGGTGCGTGCGGATGCCCTTCCACAGGGGACGCAGCACCCGGTCGAACGACTCAATACCGTACGGGTGGGCCGCCTCGGCCAGGGAGGACAGCGCCAGGGCCGTGATCGTGCGAACCTATCACACATGCACCGCCAGAGCGACACGTGTTGATGATAAGATAGGGGTCCAGTGTTTCAGTGTTATCTACAGATACGCAACTTGAATGAAAGAGCAGTAAGACATACTTGTAGGCTAAAACAAATATTCAACACAAAACAAATCACCATTGGACGTGTTTTTGTTGGGGGGGGGGGGGGGGGTTCTCAGTCTAGCTTCCTTCCCCTGGGTTCACTTAAGCCCACATTTCTTGATCGTTTGATTACTCGTGCACTGCTGTTCTGTCGTGCCGTGTCTTGTCGCGCGTGTTCACCTTTTGCTGCTCGTCGACCAGGCCGTGCTCTACGATCTCCACCATTTGACGGAGGTGCGGCAGCACCGCGCACCCCATCAGGATAGCGATCTGCCAATCCGAACAAGAAAAGAGGGTTTCACAAAATGAGAGATCGTGCGGAGGGGCGTGCACGGGCGAAAACCGGCTTTGTGAGAGATACTAATACTTGCTTTGGATTGGAATGGGACAGAGCTAGCACCTCTGGGCGGCAGCACTATCTACCGTAATTCGTACTTCCTATCGTAAGACGGTTCATGTGGCATTGGGGGGCGTGTGCGTAAGGACTCTCGGGCACGGTGCACCAAGTCTACGCGACACTTCTCGGTTCGCTGTGAAATAAAACACGAGGGATCACCACAACAGCACGATGAATGTGTAGCTGTGGCCTGTGACTCGGGCGACGGCGGTATGTATGCAGCATACCGCACAGGCAACGAGACGATCGAACCGCGCACGTTCGGCAGGGCAGGGCATTCATTCTCTCCATTCCGGTCGTACCATGGATCTTGTGTTTTGGTGGTTTCGAGCGGGGAATACGATTTTCAGACAGGCACGGAATGAAAATGCCAACCTTTTCGCTGCTTCGAAGCACATTTAACCCTGCTGGCACAGAAAATGGGGAGGAGAAAGGGCAAATCGGGCGACATACGATGCCTGCCATCTCGCGAAGGAAGTAATCCACAAACGCCGCGTTCTCACACACAGCCACAACACCAACACCAACACCAACACTACCACCACCAACAACAACACCAACAACAACTACCTCAACAACACAACACCCGCCACCCACCCACCTGCATCACGATCTTGATCCCCGTGTGCCGCGCCTGCCACGACTTGCGGCTCTGGCACACGGCCTTGAGGAAAGGCAGAAGCGCCGGGATGCCGAGGGCGGAGGCAACGACAGCGAAGGCCCTGGCCGTGGTGTTCCTGACGTACTCGTCTAGGTTGTCGATGTCCGGCCGCATGGTGGCGATCATGGTGGCCAGGCCCGCGGCCTTGGCGAGGTTGCTGATGATCTCGCGCCCTATATATCGTCGCATTCATACATGAAAATCAAACCAATTATTACCGGTTCAGCCCTACATATCGTCGTTTTCATACACAAAATCAAACAAATGATTACCGTTTTTTTCAGTCGTTCTTGGGTAGTACCAAGGTTCGTCAGGGTTCGGATTTCTATGGGAATACCGTAATTGCGCGTGTTATCGCACACCCGTGTTGGCGTTTTTGTAAAGCGTATTTCTCCACAACCAGGGGGGTATCACCTCCGAAAAGAGTGGTTTCGGAAACATCTCGTGGAGGGCTTTCCGGAGAGGTATCGGTTGGTGTTCGCACCCTCCCGTAATAGTTGTGGAGAAATACGCTACAAAAAAACGCTAACACGGGGGTGCGATAACACGCACAATTACGGTACTCAGTCGTTTAACCACACAACTAATGTACTCCTGCGCTGCAGGTTTAAGGAGACTATCGAGTTACTACAAGGACTTTGCCGGCAACAGCACCATCATGTGTAGCGAGGAGACGCTCCCGGCCTCCCCTCGCCTTACCCCGTTACGTTCCGAGCAACTCAACTTTCAGATTTGCTGAGTTGTTGAGGCATCCGTACAGGTACGCGTGTATGACCCCCCCCCCCTAAACAAACAAACAAAACTGGCACGCACGTATAAAACAACATGTTGTGCGCTTTCACCTTCTACCCGAGCGTAGTAGTCCTCGTCGATCAAGAGCGGCTCGATAACCACGAGGATCTTGTGCACGTACGGGCGCACCAGGTCGTCCAGCTTGTACAGGACACGGTCGATAACCTTAAAAAAGCATGGGTGGAGAAGGGGACGGGGGACGGGGGTCATTAAACAATTGACCTCGGGGGGGGGGGGGGGGGGGGGGA